TATATATATATATATATATATTGTACTTGACTACCCTTAAATGAGCATTTATTTTAAAGGTTAAATTTTTATTTCTAGCAAAGTTTAATTAGAAGCGCATTAAAGGAGATCAAATTTTCTTTGTTTTCAGTTTTGAAAATATTTGTGCCAATTGTTCAAAAGATAGGTAACACTAAAATGGAGGATAAAAGAAAGATAAATATTTGAATAAAATGTGGTCCAGTGTTATTTTTCCAACAAATTACCATAAATTACTTAAAATGTAGGTATTGTTTGTGTTTTGTATATTTATTGGAAGATAATAATGTATCCAAGATTTTAATTACGACTATAATATTGTCTTTATCTAACACATTGGAAAGCAAATCGTAAAAGCACGAAAGCTCGTTATCAGATGATGGACCTCCCATTTAGAAAACAGACAAGCTCTTGCCGAAGAAGAAGAAGAGCGGAGCTTACTTCGGTTTAGTTAGTTTAATCTTTCAGCTTTCAGGTCATCACAGTTTTCAGTTTCAGTTGCGTGTTGAAAATTTGATATGGTGGTGTACTGTCGCAGGAGGTGATCGTGTAATGTTGTTATTTTTAATGACATGTGCTAATGAAAACCTGATAAACATGACATAAAATAATGGAGTGCAAAGTATTTGTGTTGTATTCATTTTACTTATTATTAAAAGTATGTAGCTGCATAGACCAAGGTAAGATATTATTTATTTTTGATTACCTGTGATGTTAAGGGTAGTATTTTGGTTTTAGCATCATTTTATGGGAACAGTTTTATTTCGGTGCCGTTCAAAGAAGCCAGAAGTTCCACGGATATTCATTTTAAATTTAAAACTCATTTACTTGATGCTTTAATATTACTAGTAGCTGGTACTACAGATTATTGCATTGTTGAACTGGAGAATGGCAGAATTAAAGTTAATATCAATCTAGGAGCTGGTGAATCAGAATTATTGTCACCTAATAACCTGAAGCTGAACGATTTTAAATGGCATGAAGTCATCATTGCAAGAAGAGAGGCCAACCTATCCATGACTATTGATAAATCACATAAAGTACAGTAAGTCACGTTTTTTTCTTATATTAGTATCTTTTTAAAATCACAAATGTAGACATTAATTTAATTCATTTAATGCACAGATGATTGTACAAATTATCAATTGTCCTATAATACAATAGGAATTCTTCTTTTTTAAAATGTTTTATTGTTATTAGTGTTGTTTTAGTTATTTTTACATAATGATACTTAGTTGAAGATGTAAGTCACGAGTCAAGTAAAAGTACCTAAGTGAAAAAAAATTATATACATATTACCTGAATAATTGATGTCTACGTAGGTATTAATAAACAGTAGTACAATTTTCATATTTAATTTGTTAGAATGTTTTTATATGTACATATAATTTTATTAAAAAATCTTATTTTCTGGTTGTTCAATTTATTTAATACGTATTATTTTGAAATACATCTGCATTTTCATGACTTTTAGTTGCTTATGTTGAATTAAATATTTCATTTTATTCTAAATTTTAAACGGTCATTAAATTCGAATATTCTCGTATCTGTTTTTATAACTAAATACACTGAAATCCAAAAGACGCCTAAAGACGAGACATTGTATAGTAAATCTTACCAATCAAAAGGAATATTTATGTGTAATAAAATGGCTTTATTACAAACTATCTGGATCACAGAATGCAGTTTTATATTTGATGTACTAGGTAAACAGTCTATTTTTGGGCCAAGATTTGTAGCATCAGTACTACAGTGTAAGAAATCAGATAATTATACCATGAAATGTTAAACTAAAGGTCGTAAAATGAGTAATAATAAACGAATTTTAAATGTATATTCTTCCTTGAATGATGGGTTTATAGACAGTAAAATAAACTAGCTGCCGAGCTTGTTGCTTTATATATTTTCACCGAAATCATACATTTCATGTCATTGCTAAAAAGTAAATTTCTCATTTGCAACATTCGTTTTTATTGATGTCATGTAAAGCGGCTAAAATTATTTATGTATTATAATAAAGTAGGTTATAAAAAGAAATTGTTTCTTTTCTCATATTGTCGACGATCCGGTTAAAGGAATCCGTCGTTCAATATTGCAATTCTAGGACTGTGCGATTTGCCTCTAAACAAAAACCGGTAATGCTTTTTCTCACTTTCTGTGTCCCTTTGGATGATAAAATAAATATGTGCCTCCCATACTATCCATATTGTGCTGGGATATTCTTGAACACAAATACAAATTTATAATGCTGCCTGATCCCGGAAAGGCCTAAAAACATCTCGTCTATTTATATAATATAAATATGACAAATCAATTCCTTAAACTTCGCTACACTACTTTGTTTTCAACAAATTTACTAAATACTAAACTGATTTTATAATTTATAAAAAAATACTTTTTTAAAAGTGGCACTCATTTTGGGTGAAAGAATAATAAAAATTTATGCACCTAATTCATATTTTGAAAAAAAGCGTTTTGGGATTTCGTGTTATATAGCTTTTATACATGCATAATTTAATTATCAATATCATGTAAATTTCAGCTCGGCTGGTAAATCTGGTGAAAATTGGGTGTTTAGAGAGGATGTTGGTAGCTCCATTATTATACGTTATAATCAACTTTCAGCCTATGTCATTTTTACAATAAAGACTTGATAATGCATGGGTATACGATACGATTTTATCATGCATTATAACGCCATTCAGGAGAGGCGAAAAATGAGTAATTTAAAATTTTTCGTTTCCATAAATATGTATTGTCATTTATAGGTTTTTGCATTAATCATTTTTTTTATATGTATAATATATCATAGGTACATATTTTTTATAACAAGCGAAAAATATATTAGAAAAATACGTATATATTTCATTAATATAACACAATTGAGAAGTATTTTGATTACTTTTCATACACATACCTATAATTTATATTTTGTATTAATGCATTTAGTTACATTAATCACCCTGTGTACCCAATTTGCGTGGTATATAAATAAACAGTGATTTTATTACTGCTTTGGAAGCAAAAAGGCATGATCATTATTTTTAACTGCCACAAAGGCGTAGTTAGCTTTTTAGTTGCCAATTTTATACTGCTTACAATTTGTAAAATGATTATTCTCTGTTATTAATGTGATATAGAGGTTTGTTAGTATAAATAAATATACCAATATTATTTCATATTAATACAAATAAAATGTTTTTTTTTTAAATTCGCTCAAAACTTGTTTCACACTTTTTTGCTAAATTTGTTAGAGGTTTTTTTTTATTTATTAGATTATCTCTCAACCTCTTAAAACTAGATTCATTCTGTTGTCATCTTTCTGGAGTTTGTCATTCGTTAATTTAAAATCTGCCTGTTTAAATATAGCCACACCACCTGGTTCATATTTTCTGGGCTATATATATGCTGCTAAAATTTTCTTATATAGAACAACTTTTTAAGTAAATTAGATGCAAGTGCGCAAAATTACATTAAACACCAGCAAAACGAAATTGTCATGTCATTCACGCGTGTTTTCACGAATAATTATTTTATGTTTCCTTAATATAAGTACAAAGATAACTTTCATATTTACGGAATAATACTGTAAGAAAATATTAACATACGGATCTATAACAATTAATTTTGTTGGGATGCTGTACGTACTTTGTTCTTATATCTATTTAGTTCCAGTTTTTTTTACCTCTTGTAAGTTATTAACTGCCAGTTAGATATAATTAAAAACACTCCTCGTTTCATGTGTGTCTATTTGAGGACAGCAGACGGGTAGGCAATAATGTAATTTTGAAACGTCAAGCGAGAATCAAAGCATGGCAGTTGAACGCTGCTCTGAGAATATTCGTTTTCAGCTTCTACTAGAGTGTGTAATTTTCTAAACTAGAATTACTGCTATAAAATGAATAGAATATGATTTGAGAGCCATATTTGATATATGTGTGTATTGGTATTCGTAATAATATTTGGAGGTAATGATTTCTTTGCAAAATTTGTACTAAGTTCGTTTGAAGTCTGCAGATGTGAAGAATATGTGAGATTCATTTGCAATTAATTGTATTTTTGGAGAGTTTTCTTACAACAAATTGAATTAAGCTTAAGCGGGGCTAGAAAATTCATCTGAAACATATATTGGCAATTTATCTGTCTGGAATTTCTTTCAGAACTAAAAACTTCTGTTCTCAAGGCTCGTATATCAGACATATAGACAATGAAGGCGAGAAATGGTCCCGGTGATTTTTTCCCGAGTGTGTGAAAAGAAAGGCTAAATCATTTTCCATTGTGATTCGATTCCGTCCACTAACGGCGGCTCATTTAAAAATGATGGAGGGCTGAAGTGAAAACATGCCTGGTCAACGGAAAACACTAACCGGATTAAACAAAAAAGAAATCAAAAACACTGGGGAGCAGTGAAATAAAGCGTGAATGAGATCTATTCGATCTACCGGGCGTACATTTTTAACTTATCAATCTATTTCGCTTTTTAAAATAAAAATTAACTGCTACTAATCGATTTAAAATTGAGCTGTTGGTAAATTGCTAATTTTTAGGATCTAAATTACTGATTTTTAGAATTTCTTTATTACACTGAGAGAATTTTTTTGCTACAGGTAGCAATATATTCATTAAATAGGCGCCAACTCTCTCACTAATAGAACCTTCCCTTAAAGTTTGTGCACGTACTTAACTAACATCCTGTATTTTTTATAATATGCAAAGGACCCTTTTGTTTCGTTTCATACCTTACATTCGGTAACGGTGACAGTAAACACATCCACAAACCGTTTACTGCATTACCGTCTTACAAAATAAGTGAATATGCGTAATGACAATACTTTGAAAATGACCTGAGACGGCCTCTCCCATTGGGAGATCTGCTGTGCAGATTGCTAATGGGAAACGAAGATAATCGTTAAGAGTAGGTATAAGTCTTTCCGAAGTCAGTTTCACACAGATCACCGTTGCACATGTAAAAAAACGCCTGACAATGAAATTTAATGACTCATAGGCGTCCCTGAAAAAGTTTTCTGCTAAAGGTAAAAAATTATAATAATTTGTATATAATCTGTAGAAAATTTCTATTATATGTTCATTTGGCCAACAACATATTTTAATTATTTATGTCCTGAAACAATTTTATTATATTGATGGTAAATTTCGTTTTGTTCCGTTTCAAAAGGTCTCCAAAATGCCATGTTGTAATAATATTAGTAAACACAATATCTCTCTTATTTCTCCCTTTCGCAATTGTAATATCAATGATTAATAGAAGGTGCCTATAATAAATTAAAATTAAATGAATCACACCAAATCCCACATTGCTGCACTGCACTGCTGGGCAATTTGTCGACCACTTATCAGCGGCTGAGATCGTTTGCCCGCGCTCGCATTCTTCAACTGGGCGTATACATTTCTACCACCTCCACGTTTAGTTCGACCAGACCTGTATATGGGTATGGTTAAATAAATATGGGAACAAGTTTTTCAAATATTTCAATGCCGAGTTGCTGCGTCAGCGACCGAACCTGCTTCATCTGTCAACCTCTTGGTTCTTCAATTGATATCGGAAAGACTTGCTGGCACTGGCTAATATATTTAGATACAGCTTCAATGATGTATGTTGACTAGTGGTCGGCAACAGAAAATTAGTTGCTGCACGCAGTAGGTATTTGTACACAAGAAAAAAACATGTGCATAGAGTATTTCTATGTATCCACTGAGACAAAACTAGGATCTTGTGGGAGGAGTTTAGCTGCAGGACAATGGGAGTAAACATACAGGTATGCGGACTGAGACAAATTCTGGTTTATTCCAGAAAATTTTAAGTTAGACCTCAGTTACACCCTTGTAAAATATCCTAGCAAAGCGCCTCACTTGGATGATTTCTTTCAGTGTAGAAAGATTTTATAAATAGTACACTCTGCATATAGTGGAGCTTACATTAATTGAAGCAGTTTTAATATTTACTTGAATAGAGAAAATTACCAAAGATGAGGCATCCCGTACAGTGACAACATGAGATAGGGGAAGCGATAAACGTTCCTGGAT